ATATTTTGCCTACATTGTTGTGTAAATATTGGGACCCAGATGAGAAAAATTTAGGGAAAATTTGGAAGTCAAAGGATCTAATTGACAACTTCTGTATTAAATCGACAAAACAATTAATTGGTTAAGAATAAATACGAGGTCACCTTTTTTTTCATAGTGGTAAAATTGGACACTTCGCCTTGGCCTGGTTTAATAAAGAAACCTGATCAGGTGGAAAAGTTCTAGTTCAAAGAAGATAGGAAAGGGATTCCATAGGTATCTTGGTTAGAGGATATTCTTGAAGCACAAAATGCCAGGTGTCTTTTATATTTAGTTCTAGAGCATTCTGTTGACCACCTTAGTCTGGATCAAGACTTTTTTTTTTTTTGAGTTTCATTATCATGACTTTGATTTATTAATTTGGTTGATGGTTTGATTCAATGGTCAAATATCGAGTGTTATAGACCTCCAATCTCATGGCATTCACCTGAATCATATATATACGTTAAATATTCAATGGAGGCTTAATTGTTTGCTGTAATTAAAGCGCTTAAATCATCCTCTTCAGGGTAGCATCCTTTTGGGATAAATCTTGTTTACGTGGTAAATTTGATGAACAAGCAACTTAGTAGACCATGAAGATTCCAAGGACTTTTTTTCATTGCATCTTGTTTCTCCTCGTGGGTGGGTTATTTTTAACTTTTAACTTGTAAATTCTAACTTATATTGTATAAATCTTATATAATAATTGATTTGATTTGTATTCACCGAACATATTTTAGATTTAAATGATAAATTATTTATAAAAGATATCTTTTAAATCACAATCTAAATAAAAATATAATTTAAAAATAACGATAAACAGATTTTAAATATTTGAGCTAACCTCAATTAATATTTTGAACTTTGCTTTATGTCATATTTGTTTTTATGTCGTGTTTTTTAAATAATTTTTTTGTATTTTAAAATTATTTTTATGTGTTATTATAAAAAATAAAAAAATTAATTATTTTAATATATTTTTAAATAAAAAATTAACGGAGTGTTACAGATATTAAGATACCTGGGATTGCAAGGAACCAGACATCCAGGTTCGAATTGTACCTGCATGGGCCCCGGATCCGAAGGATTTTGCTTTACTTTAACGGATTGATGATGATTCGTTAAATATGTTTCTTTTCTGTGTTTTTTTACCAGAACAAATAACTTCAATGGGAGAAATGTGTTTTTTTTTTTTTTTTGTTTTTTTCCAGAACAAATAACTTCAACAGGTATATTTCTGTGGCCATCATAAATAAACGTAGTTATAACGTGTTTTTGTTAAAAAGAAAAGGACGAGCTGCTTCAAAGCATCTATCTATACAACTGCCCTTTGTTTTCAAGACTATCTTCTCTGCGATTAGTGAAGCTGCATCATTCATCATGGATTCCATTGAGTTTATAACTACAGACAATATAAAAAACACTATCAGCCCCTCTCTGATCCCTTGCAAACTCCCAATCCATTCGTTGTTTTTGCTCGTTCAACCACATTCTTGCCAAGACTTTTCCTCGCAGCACTTGCCGCTCTTCAGAGCTGTCACTTGGAAGCTTCCCAGTTCCTTTTTATCCCTGCCACTTGTTGCGAATTTGACATGCACTGACTGCTCTCCACCACCAACCTGTCCTTTCTTTGTTTCATGATTAAACCTCGTTAAATAAAGACTCGCGAAAGCCAGGGAGTTCGTGGATGGATATTTATATTTGTTTTTGTATTTTAGAGGTATTTTAAAAAAATTTAAAATTTTAAAATTTTTTTTACTCTAAATTAATAAATTTTAGTATTTTCAGATTATTTTAATATAATAATTTTAAAAAAATTAAAATTAAATTTTTTTTTAATGTATTTATAAACAAAAAAACATTTTAAAAAACAACAATCACATTTCTAAACATATTTATAATATATATAATATATATTAGATACAGGTTTGATTTCATCTTTATATATGATTCAACGTTAAATATTTTACAAGTCATAAACTCCATCCATTTAATTTGTTTAGACTAGGTACTATTTGTTTTTGTATTTGAAAAATATTTATGAAAAAATTAAATTTTATATATTTTTTTGAATTAATATTTTTTAATGTTTTCAGATTATTTTGATGTACTAATATTAAAAATAATTTTTAAAAATTTAAAAAATATTATTTTAATATATTTTTAAATAAAAAATATTTTGATAAGGAATCACAACTCCAACCACAATCATACTTTCAAATACTCTGGTTAGATAAATTTAATTGATGTAAAATTTGTGTAAATATTATAAATATTAATGAGTTAGATTTATATTGTTATTTTTTTTAGATCAATATCTAGAGACATACATATTTAGAGCACCCCAATATCAAGCCTAGTTTTCATACATTATGCAATCATTAAATTCCTGTTAGTATTTTCTTTTTTAACAAATAGATAAGCTTTTTTTATTATGTTAAAAAAATCTAATAAAAAACTCATTACATTTAAAAATAAATAATCAATTCACGGATCATTACATTTAAAAACAAAATGAGTATATAACATACAGGTTAGGTCTGATTGATCAGTTTTAAAAATGACCATCCGCCACTAAACTTGTAGTATCTATTTTTATAATATTAAAATTATTCGATTTTAAAGAATGTTGTCGGAACAGATAATACAAACCAATCACCTAATGAAAGCGAACAATAGGGTTCCCAGCAGCTTCTTTGTCGTTGTCACTCCTCTGCACATGAAGCAATTATTAGTGTGTCCCTGCATAAACCCAAAGTATATTTATAGGCTGCGCATGTTGACCATAATAGTCTGAAAAATTGGTTACGGTAATTAGCCGTGGATGGCTTGCAGATTTTGGGTATGGTGTGGAACATTTGATTACCATCCTAGTTTAGAAAAACCTTAATTTGGAGATTCGGAGCGTACCGTGCCCTAGCATTTTGAATTTGATAAACAGCAAGCAGATCATTTCAGGTAACAAAACACGATGAGCTTCCCAAGAAAACAAGATCCTCCTTCTAACTGGAGAAATTACGAAGGATTTAATAACACCATTTCCATTCCAGAACAAGTGGCTTCTAAAGAGAACAAATTCTCATCTTTGTTTGATAAAGAAAGCTTCGGGGGGCCAAATGCTGGGACCTTCACGGAGTGGCGCTAAGTAAACTATGATGAGATTTTGTTCTTTTCTTTCTTTCCTTAAAAAAAATTTAAAAAAAATGAAAATTGCATTATGTGAAGGACAGAAAACTTATCAGCAAATGAAAGAACACAAGCTGTCACAAGAATGACATATTTGCGTGTTGAGCTGAGGCTGAAAATGGGAATCCCTTTTTAGGATAGCTGAAAATGAATCCTAATGCAAGGAAATTCACAAGCACCGCGCCGCCCCCCACCAAAAAAAAATAAATAAATTTATTAAAGGTCATCGAGGCATCCAGGCTTCATTTCCGTGTTTTTCTCGTAAGAGGAGAAGGAAAAAAAGTTCAGGAAACAAGGGTTTCAAAAAAAACTAACTAGTGACAGGGATTGCGATTCATCATATATGGTATAATCCACTCAGTCATACAGGGGTTTGGAGAGTGAGAGAGAGAGAATCTTAATTTGTATAATGGTGTCAGGGACTAGATTGAGCACAGCGCCGCCTTACAAAAACTCCAAATTTAAAAGCCAGGGATAATGGAGGAGAGAGAGAGAGAGAGAGAGACAAGACTCTACCCTATTCATGAATCTCATCACCCACTAGTATCATGCATGATCCTCATTATTGATTCTTTAACAAACCAATGGTCCCATTTAATTCACTGATTAGGCCTCAATTAGTTTGATAAGTTAAAGGGAAATTCTAAGAATATTGTCCTAATCATTATGATGATGATATCATAAGAAAGTGCTAAAATTTCATGAACAGTATTCTTCGGATCAAGACAAGCTTAAGTTGCCTTGCATCATGAGGCACTTCCATCAAACCCCCTAACTTAACTGCAATTTCAATTGCCCCAGGGGGGGGGGGGGGGGGGGGGGGGGGGGGGGGA